AGTGTCTGCTGTTGGGTGTGGCCTATTATGCTAATGAGTTCCTGCTGGGCTTTTTCTACAAAAAAGGCCCTGAGTGGCATTATGCTGATGTCTTTTATGTACTTGAAACAGAATCTGACAAAAACTAACCATTACAATTAGTAGACTTGTCCATTTCTTTTGTTATGAATTACAACAATTACAAAAATTGGGTGTTTCATAACTATCATAGTTAATATAACAACAAAACATTTTCCCCATCTAAACAGCTTACAATGAAACAAATATATCTTTCTCCCCCCCCCCCAATTTTCCTCTAATCTTCCATTATTGCAGGCTTGCTTTTCTCTATCTCAACTGGTTTCACTTTTACAAGACAGCCAGCATTTTCTTAATGAGAACATATCTGCGTTCCTTAAGGGAACAAGGGGGAAAGAGGCTCTGGGTTTTCTTTTGCATTCTTCTTTTCTTTCATCACTGGGGTAGGAGTTTGCCTTACTCTATCCTCCCAATGCCTGTCCTGCTCTGCCAAATTGTCCCTTGCAATTTGCACTTCCTAGCTTGCCTACTGCTCTCCAGACCTTATTTCCCAGCTAAGCAAATCTACCTCAAGGTTATCCTGCTGCTGCCTGCCTGTCCAATCCCTTGTGTCACCAAATGCTCTTGTCTTGTCAGTCCACCTGTTCCTCGTGCTATTGTTCTTCAAGCTATATAGCTATAGTGTACCCTCATGGTACACTACTGTTTCTCTCTTTGGAAACTTTCCTAACAATTTCCCCATAGACTATACTTGGTGTGTTTCATAGTCTCAGAAATGGGGACTCTTTTATTCTATACATCTGAAATTTGTCAGGGTGACAAGGAAGAGGTATTTATGAGTTTTATCCCGTTTGGATGGCAAATCATAAAGGTCTGTACCAAAGGAGAGTGTCTTCCATTGAAACCAATGGTAAGTGATAACAAAATAGAAATATGAAAATGAAACAACAACAAAAGAACAATAACAAAACAAAACAAAACCATAAAATGATCTATGGAGAAATGCATTTTTCTTTGGAGGTTTGAACTCAGCAAAACCTTCACCTCGAGTTTTAAAAAGTTTCCTCTCTCTTGGCATAGTACAAGCCGAATGCAAGATTGAAGACAGCTTCAATCACCAAGCCTTTAGATATGCCAATGGTTGGTCTTGCAGGCACAATGAGATGGGCAAGTCACACACACATCTCCAGCTAGACAGGTAATATCCAGTAAGGAAAAGATATTTGGAAGACTTAATGTCCTGAAGTCTTAAGGAAAAGCTTCTTTGACCCAGCCTGTGAGGAGGGTCTCTTTTGTGATGATTCCATTGATGCAGACAGAACTTTGACCTGAGGTCTGTAGGAGGCAGTCATTATGATGTGCTTGCCCGCACACCTGAGCAGAGGCTTCAAGGTAATGGGAATGTTTTAGAATAACTGTAATCTTTAAGCTACGGAGTTTGCCTTAGACTAAGATCCACTAAGGCAAGTACAGGGGGGGGGGGAATTGCATTCTACCCTTTTCGTTTGGATTCCTTGCTCAGTCTGGTGCTGTGCTGAGAGTATGCTGGTAGTGTTTCTCTGTACTACTGTAGACCTTCGCCATTCTGGGCATGCTATTTTAAAAAGGAGTGCCCAGGGGTGGGAGGCAGGTGGCAGATGGCTACTGCTTCAGTGCTGCATAAGGCATTATGCTGTCCCTGTGGTAACCAGATGTTGGATGACAGGAGACCCAGAGGCAAGCCTCAGAATGAGGAGAGGAAGCTGGGAGCCCTGTCCCTCACTGTGGCAATTCCCAAGGTAAGATGGTGGCAGCAGTTGAACCAAGAGGAGGAAAGAAAAGTCCCTACAGGTGTTGAGAAAGCCAGGCGGATGGCACGTGACTGGTGGAGACCTCACATAGCCACTGGTATCCATATGCCTCAGAGGGCATGGCGACATAGTGCCTGATGGTCAGAGTGGGGTATTCCACCACATAACCCAATAATGAAACAGTCTGTTTTAGAATTAACAAAAATGAAAGAAACAAAAACTCCCATGCACAAGTCTAACAATCAGCAAAGATGTCACTGTTTTTTATTGTGTTTGTTCTTATACCAACTCAGAGTTGGGTGCCTCACACTTATCAGATTGGAACTTGAGTATGAAAAATGTTGCCTTGCCCAAAGCTACACAATGAATCTATTTTAGAGACAAGATTTGAAGGTGTATTCCCTATCTATGTTCTGCTGCTCATGAACTCTCAAGACATACCAATGTAGTGAAAGTGCTGGTTACAGCTAGATTACACTGCAATGTGCTCTATGTGGGGCTGACCTTAAGATGTGCTTTGAAGTAACAATTGGTGCACAGTGCTGCAGCTAGGATGTTAACTTGTCATAGAGGATGTATCACTCCAGTGCTGGCCCTTCTACACTGGCTCTCACTCTGTTTCCAAGCATAATTCAAAATGCAGGTATTAACCTTTAACCAACATACTTGAAGGACCACCTACTCTCTTATAAATATACACAATCACTATGGTCATCTACAGAAGCTTAACTTTGGGTGCCCCCACCTTCTGAGAATAGACAGATGGAATCCTGGGAAATGGCCTTCTTGGTCATGGCACCAAATTTCTAGAACTCTCTCCCTAGAGAGATTTGTCCATCCCCTTCTGCTGCCATCTTGTTTGGCATCCCCTCAGTGATTCCTCCTTCCTGCCCAATGTTTTAATTGTTTTTATGTTGTTGCATGTATTTTAGCTCTTGTTTTAACTATTTTAATGAAGTGTTTTTGTTCATCTTAATAGTTTTTAATATGTGATTGTATTATGTATGTTTTGATTTGTTAGCTGCCTTGGGGGCCTTTATGAGGGCAGAAAAGCAGGGTATACATTTTGTAAAATATCTGATTCTCAATGTGCCCAAATCCATGGATACTTAAATCCAGAGACTGACACCATGAATAAACAAGGCAGATGCTTCTACAAACCTGAAAAATGACCTGAGTTTGCAGAAACATCTGAAATTTTAAAACAACAAAAACAACATTGGAAGGTTAAGACTTCCAAAATAATGCAAGCAGTGCCTGTAGCTTTAAGAAATGAATGCCCTAAGTGGCCATTCCTAGCAACTACAACAGCATTGCCAGCCTTCCAGGCTTGGCTTCTGTCAATAAAAGGCAGAGGGAAGGGCAAGGCCCTTCCCAGGGCTGTTTTGGTCTGAGGGAGAACTCATTGGAGCCAGGCCTGCCAGGAACCACTGGGGGACTTGCTACTACCCAGCTTGCATGAGTCAGCCAGGCTTGTCTGATTGCTGCTGTTCAATAGAAGCCACCCCATGAAATTCAGTGTGGTGTAGTGGTTAGAGTTTCAGACTAGGATCTGTGAGACCCCAGTTTGAATCCCCACTCTGCCATGGAAGCTTGCTGGGCCAGTTACACTTTGGGCCAGTCACACACTCTCAGCCTAACCTACCTTACAGGGTTGTCATGAGGATAAAATGGATGAGAAGAGAATGAGATATGCCACTTAAGATCCCCATTGTGGAGAAAAGTGGGATCTAAATGAAGTAAATAAACAAACACAGCTTAAGATGGGGGGCAGATAAATAGTAGGTAGGTAGGTGGGAAGGAGAAAAGGAAGCATGGAAAGGTAATGATATGGGATCTTCCAGGAGGATGAAAAGAGGAAATGGTTTGGGGAGCACAATATAGGCGGGGGGAATGAGGTGCCCCTGCAACTCCTTGGCTTTTCCCATTTGTACCCCTGCCAAGTAGCAGAAGATTTTGATATCAACTTTATTTATGCAGTTAGTTGGATAAAGGAAATGGGTGATCTGTCAAGGTTATGGAAAGTAGTGTCAAGTCACAGCTGTAGGGTTTTCAAGGTGAGAGATGTTCAGAGGTAGTTTGACATTGCCTGCCTCTCTGTACTAACTTGGGCTTCCTTGGTCATCTCCATCTAAGTACTAGCCAGGACCAACCTGCTTAGTGTCTGAGATTTGGCCATCCAGGTCAGGACATCTTTCATAGTCATCTGAAAGGGTTCATAGCCTGATTTGCCTGTGCCTTCTATGAAGATTAGCATTAAGAAATGTACTAAAAATTTGCTTCTCATTAACTAAGCATGCAAGTACTTATATTTCAGACTAGAATTCAGCACTGTCAACTAGGACAGTGCATGAGAGGAAGATGTGGGATTTAGTCATCCTGGTAAGAACTGGAGGATAGAAATGTTTTAATAAATAAAAAAGAAATATGGTTAGGATGAATTGTCAGTGTCTGGACTCTGGACATGTGCCAAGCTCAGTGAATTCTTTCCCCTGGTTCTGGGTCCTGTTCAGAGACCTGCTACCACTTCTCCGCTTTTGGCTGATTCCTGGGCCAAGGTCACAGAGAGAACTGGTTGAATCAGAGACATCTTGACTTTAATTATACTCTAAAATATCGCATGCACATAGATAACAGTTGCTTATTAAAGTAATGCTAAATGACATGACAATTTTAACCATGTAGGGTATTTTCAGAATATTGTATTTTTATGTAATGCACAGAAACAAAACAACTCCTCTTTTGGCATCTTCCTATTTCTGCATTCAACAGGATGCAGTTCTCTCACTTGCTATTACACTGACTCTTCATTTTTCCAATATATTTATATGCATTTACTGAACAGGTTTTCTTACAGATAGCTGCTTCTGGGCTCTTTATGATTACTTTACTGATATTTCGCATATGCCTACTTTATATCAGCATCATATGATCCTAGTGTCTTTCTGATTTTAAGGAACTGTTTAGTGATTTGGATATAGTCCTTGAAACCCTGATCCTGAATAAATGCCATTAAAAATGAATAAGACTTGCTCAGGAGCAATACTTGTTGGATTGTAGGGTGCACTCTATCTGGTGTTCAGATAGGGTGGATCCTTGAATTCCCAAAGGGCCCATTCTAAGGGTGCTATTTACTGACTTATCCTGTCAGTCTAATTCCCTTCCTGCTCATCTGATCCTTTGGTTACTTACTTAAAGGGCTTCTCCCCTGTGTGTGTCCGGATATGATTGTTGAGGGTAGTAGCACCAGCAAAGGCACGACCGCAATAGCCACACTTGAAAGGTCTGTCACTGGAATGGGTGACTACGTGGTTCCGTAGCTCTGAAGGTTGGGAGAAGGATTGGGAGCAGTGTCCACACTGATAGGGCCTGCAGAAAATAGAAACACCCAATGTGATCACTACTTTCTTTATTGATGCATATGGAAAATGTTTTGGGTGGTGCAGCCGAGATTTTGAATGCTAATTTCCAAAAAGGAATATACAAATGGGCTTCCCTTCTGGTGCAACAGTCATTAAAAAATAGAGGGGGGAAAGTTATAAAACTGCTAATGTAATGTTCCATATTTGAAAAGAAATAGTTCATAAAGGGCCCTTCTGATAAATAATACTATATTGATGCTAAGGTTTTATTATCAAGAACAAAACAAGATTCAAGCAGTAACCATCTCCAAAACCACCTACAATTCCCACTATAGTAGTTGTATCAACAAAGTCAGGTTCTTCACTAATGCAAGCAACATAAAAACTGTCATCTTGATTCTTCTGAAGATATGAAATATATACGCTTAAAAGAGTCCGAAATATCAGACCAATGGCCTATTTCATACAGCAACCTTTTTCATTCAGAGTCAATCAGATTCCTACAGAAGGCCTGCAAGACAGACATGGAGACTACACCTTCCCCTGTTCTTCCTAACCAGAAATGGTATCCAGGGAGTTACTGCCTCTGGACATGGAAAGCATGCCTTAATATCATTGCTGCTTTGGGAATCCATAATCATATTAACAGAATTATCATCTATATACTATTAGACACATGTGGCCCCCATCCGCGGATAGCTAAATCTGTGGATCAGGGCCACATGGAGGCTGAAGAGATTTTTCTGCAAACTTGAGGCACTCTCTAGGTTTGCAGAAAAATCAGGCAGCGGGGGTGGGGGGATACACAAGGTGTGTGTGTTTGTGTGTTTAAATCCCAGATCAGACCTGAATCGCTCAGGCATACCTGATATCGTTAGATCTTGGAACCTAAGCAGGGCCAACCCTGGCAAATAATTGGAAGGGAAACCTCCAAGGAATACCAGGGCTAGGGACGCAGAGCTATCATGCCACCTCTCTGAAAAATGTCCAAGCCCCCAGCAGGGGGTTGCTAGAAGTGATCATGACTTCCAGGCATGCAAGCACACACACACACACACAAATACCAAAAATAATAAATAAATCCCAGATCAATATAGAGCCCAGCTGCGGATGCTGAAAGACACTTTGAGTCCAGCCTGAGTGTCACGGGGTGGCAGTAGTGGAGGAGGCCGGGAGCTGCACCAGGCCTAGCTGGGGTGGAGGAAGCTGCCGAAGGAGGATGCTTGCAGCTGTGCTGGACTGCAGCAGAGGATGCTGGCATCTGCACTGGACCTGTCTGTAGTGAACACTAGCAGCCACACCTGGCCTGTCTGCAGCAGACACCAGCAGCTGCACCCAGCCACTGTAAAGGAGGACATCAGCAGCCAGGCTGAGCTGGCCACAGTAGACGACTCTGGCAGCTGCGCCAGGCTCAGCCACAGTACAGTACAGAAGGTTGCCAGGCTCCATAGTTTGGGGAGGAGGCTGGAGCCATGCCAGGCTTGGCAATGGGAGGAATATGGGATCCCCCCCATGAATCTCCTTACCCCCCCCCACTGAACTGTAAGAAGGGAATAACGTTTGGTTAAGTGGCAGTGATGGAGGGATTCCCCCGCATGAGTATAGTGGGTCGCCACTTGTCTATATACCTATTTCCCAAGTGTTCCTTCTATCAGCGGATACCTAAATCTGCAGATCGGGGGCACACAGAAAGAAAACAGATATTTCTGCAAATGTGGGGGGTTCCCACATGTGTAGAAAAATCTGAAATAATTTAAAAAATTACATTTGGGTGGGTGTAAATCCCCCACAAAACAAAAGCAGTGTCTTTACCACCTCTTTAGATGGAGCCCTGGCAAGGCCTGGGATTTGTAGCAGAAGCAGCAGCAGCCACAATGTAGAGGAAGGGGAGGAACCCTCAGTGGGCCGGGCAGTAGAGGTCAGGAGACTTACTGGGCCCGGGATCAGCAGCAACAGCTGCAGCAGTGTTGTGGAGAGGAGAGGAAGCCTTGCTGGGCCCAGGATCAGCAGTGGCAGCAGTGATGTTGGGGAGGGGGAGCCACAGCAGGCCCAGCCACAGGGGGTGGGAGCCTCTTGGGGCTTGGGATCAGTGATGGTGGTGGAGACATGGGGGGTTATCATGCTGCAGCTGGCCCAGCCACAGCGGAGGAGGACACTAGCAGCCAGGCTCAATGGAAGGTAATGGGGCCTGGAGCTGCTCCAGGATAAGTGATGGAGGGGGGATATGGCATACCCCCCCCCGCAAGTCTCATGGTCCCCCACTGAGCCCGCAAGGAAGAAATCAGGTGTGAGGGGAGAGTCCTCACTACTCCCTACCAAGCTAGCGATGGAGGATTTGGGGGGGGACACTGCTCTCCGTGAAGCCAACAAGCCTGCCCTGTGCACTGTGCCATAAGGAGAGACCTGGGTGTGGAAGGGTTTGGGAATCCTCACAACAGTCCTTGCTATACCCTCTACCAAGCTGGCAATGAGGGAGCCAGATGGCAGCAGTGATGGGGAGTAGATGTGCCAGGCCAACAGCAATGAGGGTGGAGGGATTCCTCCCAGTCAATATTGCTGGTCCCCACTGGTATATTCTAACAGCCACATCTAAGTTCATAGAATCATAGAGTTGGAAGGGACCTCCAGGGTCATCTAGTCCAACACCCTGCTGGCTCAAAGCTATCCAAGTGAAAATTGCTCAGCTTGGATTTTCCTCTTCAGTTCTCCTTCAGATGGGTGAAGATATAGCCAGACAAGTTTGGAGGCAGAGAGTTGAAGATATCGAATGCCAGTCCGACATTGCAAGATCTTCTAACTATATTGCACCACCTGATAGATGCTACCTCTCTACACTGGCTACTTATTTATGCACTCTGGAAAATAATAACCAAAGAAGAGGCTTCATTCTTGGCAGATTTTCCACTTTACCATTGACAATTATCAAGGGCAGATACTGCAGGATCCCTTGGGCAGAGAGACTCTGCCCCTGCAATAGCAGAGAGATGGAGATGATGGTGCATGTGTTCCTTTGTTGCTCCTTCTACAATGGGACTTGTTCTATATATATTTTCTCATTACTCCATCGATCTACAGATACTTCTGACTCAGCTAACATTAATTTGCTTCTGTCCAACATGTGTAGTGAGACAACTCGGCAAGTAGCCAATTTTTGCTCTCAAGCAATTAAACTTTGTTCTATTCAGATCTTGCCAGGCAATGAAGATGGAAATACCTATTGTGATATTTAATACCTTAATCCAGACTTATTTTATCAGGGATTAGGCAGCCTTTCTTCTACATTTGCTGTTAGTTATAAATGTTAGAAGACATATATTGGCCTCAAATCCATAGCTAATGTGGGTCCCCATGGGGCTCGGACCCCTACTGTTTATCCCGGGCCCTCTCCCTTCAAGAAGCTGTCACTATTTGCTTGCCTGACTTGTTCAGTTCGCTCATGTTATGCTTCGCTCACTGGTGATTGTGGGACTTGCCACTGCATGGTTGCTCATGTTTGCCACTTTCTTCGACCAGCCCTGCTTGTGATGATCCTCACACCCCAGAAGGGATGAGCGCCATGCACGGGGCCTGGACAGTGAGTTGAACAGCTGACTTGGCTAAGACAGGCCAAGAAAGGAGAGTCCCTGCACATGTACTCTGAAGGCTGCATCAGGGAGTGTTTGGATGTGGGGGGAGGCAGCTTCAAGGAGGCTGTCTTCCACAGGGCAGATGGGGGTACCACTTGGCTGCCATGCCAACTGAAGATAAAGTGAAAGGCTCCTGCTCGGGTTGGGGGCAGAAGCCGCAGCTCTTGGGGCTAGGAAGCAAGCAGCTCTGGGGCTTGGCAGGCAGAAGCCACGGGGCCAGGAGGAAGAAATGCAGTGGGGGGAAGGTGGCCCAATCCTCCCCACTGAGCCTGAGAAACTGAGTGGGGGAAGGCCGAGGAAGAGAAAGGGGAGGAGGAAAAGGAAGTGTGAGCGGGACTCTGGATGTAGGGACAACACGTTGGGAGAATCGCGGCCAGTTTGCTTGCTTGTCTGGCTGCTAGACTAGAGGAGGAACTTTTATGGAGCTCCACTAATGAAATTACCGACTGGACCCCCCTGCCAAAAAATTCCTAGCTACAGCATTGATTGGCTTGATTAAGCACTGTACCATGATATCCCTTGGCCTGACTGGACTGGGAGGTTTTTACTTTAATATTGTAAATTAGTGTTCATCCTTGTTGCCAGGTACTAGCAATAAGATTTGTTATATCTCATATTTCAGTTGTTTTTATTATGAATTTTACTATTCTGGTCATGGACTGTAATAAAAGATTTTGACTTTTGGCTTCTTAACCCCAAAGTAGTGATCAGCAAAGTAGTGATCAGAAAGGGCCACAAGAACTAAGCATTGATGCAACCCTTCCTGCCCTCCCTGTCATGATCGACCTAAGTTTGCAGAATCAGCATTGCTGTCAGATGCCCATCTAGCCTCTGTTTGAAAACCTCCAAAGAAGGGGAGTCCACCACCTCCCAAGGAAGCCTTATGTGGCTCACGAGCAACTGCAAGAGAAGGAACAGGAGGCTGTTCAGGGAGTGGAGCCATTTTGATTGTGGCTTCACCATGGCAGACCAACCTGATCTGCAGCAGCCAAGAAGAATCCCTTCACTTCTGGAACAGCCTCACTGGTAAGCTGGTAAGCTGGGAGCCACTGCAGCCTCATTCATGTCTCTCACTCGGCCTGCAGCTCCAGGGATGCTTGCTTATTTATTCAACTTATATCCCACTCCTTTCCCTGCAAGCAGGGCTCAGGGCAGCTGTCCTGGATGGCCACAGGGATCAGCATTTGCTTGTGGGAGGGTTCAGATGATCCTGTGTTGGGGCCTTCTGGCAGCCAGCTCCACTGCCGTGTTCATGCCCCCCCCCGCCACGCAGCAGCTGCGCTTTGGCCCATGGGAGGCATTCTTTGGCAGTTTCTTCCACAGATTGGGGGCCTAGTCCTGCCACCAAGCATGCAACTCAGGGCCGGGCATCCCTCCCTCA